GATGGTTTAGGTAAAGTGTCATTAATAAAACTGAGTTTATTTTTGGCTGATAAAACCATCATCATCGTCCTTTTCCATGAATTATAGTTTTTACCATTAAGTGGCTTTGAAATGGTTATAGCTATAGGACTGTCACCATGATGCAAGAAGAAAGGATTGGAAGAATCCATCTCTTATATAGGGTTGGTATTGACAACCATTGCCAAGAAAATAAAGAGAAAAAAAGAACTGATGAAGAGGATGAGGATGCGGAAATAAAATTTCAAAGAAATTGCACTGATACCATAATAAAATATTGAAATGGAGATTATGAACTGAATTATCTCTTCACTTTATTAATAACAATAGTCTCTTACACTGTTTATATAGACTAGTATGAAAACAGAATAATCAACAGTTAATTAACAGAATAACAAACTCTTGTAACAGCTTTAACTAACTCTATCAACTTTAACAAACTCTGACTTCTTCAATGTTGCTTGCTAAAGAAGTTAACTGAAGATTGCAGGATTGCTTGTTACTGTTGCTGCTGGAGATTTGCACTGCTGTATTCATTGTTATAGCTATTGATGTGGAGAAGACGGAGAAGACAGAACTGCTGGCTTCATTGTGGACGTGAAGAAGATTGAGCTGCATGCAATTCAATATTACAACACAAAAGGGATCGCATAAAAGCGTTAGCTTAAGATGTTTTTACACAATTAAAGATTGAAACTGCCAGTGAAGGAGCTGCAATTGACATGGACCGAGGTGAGTCAATCAGAATCCTTAATTATGCTCACATATTTCTCATTTGTATAATAAACATGAAAAACAATTCAGAACCGGGTACATGGAAACATAAGCTCTCTGAATGACCCAATCTTATTCATGGATTCCACTTGCTGGAACTAGAAACACTGTCCGTTGGTAAGAGGAGAGAGTTCACTAAGAAAAAGGCTATCATTGTCGACAACTATTATCGTATTATATTGATTATTATATAAAAACTTCCGACAAGTTGAGATGGCCGAGTTGGTCTAAGGCGCCAGATTAAGGTTCTGGTCCGAAAGGGCGTGGGTTCAAATCCCACTCTCAACACGCATCTATTTTGCTTCTTTATTTAATCCTAAACTGGCCGATGGTCCCTGCTTGCTTGCTTGCATAAATAATATTGATGCATGATTTTAAAGTTAAAAGCATACAAAATCAATAACCTCATTCAGGTTTTTCCATTCTAAAATCAAAATTAGATATCTCTCCCTCATCCTAACTTTCCATCCTCCAAATACTTTGCATTATATTCTTTTCTAAAATATTTAAAAGATTAGGTCAAATTAACTAGCATTGAATTTACATAATAACTTAATTAATGTTACGAGTCTAAAAATAATCTGGATTGTCAATAAAAATATAATTTAATTTTAAAATAATAGTTTTTTTATGTGATAATAAATTAAATCAATTTAAGTTTTACAATGTAACTTATAAAACTTACGACTCAAATTATAAATTATATTGAGTTTAAAATTTTGTTTTTAATTTATTTATTTATTTATTTAATGATACGATAAAATAAATAAATATTTTAAAAAATTAAATACAAAATATTTGTTTAAGAATACAATAATTTCATTAAAAAATTGAAATACATAATAACAAATAATTTTAAATTAATAAAATATTGAATAAAAAAATTAAAATAAAAAAATTAGAATATAGATTAAAAAAGAAATAAAAATTTTGAAAAATAAAAAAATAAAATTGAGGAAGTACCATGTTTTCCAATTTTATTTAATTATATGCTTCTACTTCGAGCAATCTGTTTTGTATTTCAACAATGATGATTTTCATGAATTGTGAACGGTTAACATATACTATAATATACCAAATGGACTTGTTATTTCAGGTGTGTTTGGTATTGTGATTGTTGTTGTAATTATGGTTTGAAAAAAGTTGTTTTATAAAAAATATTTTTAGTTGAGGTTAAGTTGAAAAAATATATGTTTGGTTAAAACTGTGGTTGAAATTGACGTTGAACAAAAAGTAGTTTAATGTGTTTGGTTAAAAAAATACTTTTCAAATTGAGGTTATAAAATGATATATATATATATTAATGATTTTTAATTAAATATTATAAATTTAACTACTGTTATTACATCATAAAATAAATAATATTGATATCAAATATTTTTTATTATTCCATTAAACTATATGTAATGTCATCGCATGTAAAATCTATCCAACAAGGACTATATTTTTATTTTCCATGGTTTCTTAAGTGAGCAACAACAAAAATTGAATTTTTTGTTGCGTCATCAAGTGATCTCCTTTTAATTTTTCAAATAAAACATAATTAAAATAAAAAAAATAAATTTTTTTAATTGGGTCAGACCCGGCAAGAACATAATTGGAATTGATATCAAATTACACAAATGATACGTCATCATGTGATATCCTTCTAATTTATATAGTGTTATTAAATAATATTAAATACTAGTTTTTTGAGTAAAACTCAATTTTTTTAAAAAAAATTACAATTTCATTACGTATAAAATTCATTTGATAAGAACTACAGTTTCCATGATTTTTTGAGCATGCAATAAAATTAAATAAAATATTATCAGGAATAAAATTGAGAGTACAGTACGAGTTATTTTTTAGTCGTGCTCCACTGTTATGTTCCTCCCTCACGATTGAGAAGCAGCAAAATGCTGCTTCTCAAAACCTGCGACACAACCTTTTATTTTAGTGGATTCTACCAGTACTTTTAATTTTTTTCTACGTTACCAAATGGTATTATATGTGGCTGCGGGTGAACCTCACCCACAGTCACATTATCAAACAAGCACTTCATTGCAATAGTTAGCAGCGAAATGCTTTTGTCCTTGGTTCTCAAGGTTTTTATTTTATTTTATTAACATTAGATTTAATATGTATTGGACACCATAATATATTTTAATTTATTTTTTTATAAAGTTATTTTAGTTATATAATTTAAATTTGGTAAGTTTATCTAGATTAACTTAAGTTATTTTTTCTATGTTTTTATTTAATTAATTTTTTTCTCAACTCTATCTTCTAATATTTGATCAATTGAGAATTTAACTTTATATTTTATATTTTGTTATATATAAGGTTATCATAGTCACATTACTCGAGTTACGAGTTTTGCAGATTAGCTGGGTTAGCTCATGTTTTTTTTCTCTCCCTTTAATGTTGAGTTGATTAAGAATTTTATTTCATAATTTTTTTATTTTTTTCTATAGAGTTATTCTGATCTTATAATCTGAGTTTGACAAGTTAATCCAAATTAATTTGAGTTTTTTATTTTATTTTTTATCTAACCCTTTAATACTAGATTGATTAGGGATTGCGTTTCATAATTTTATTTTATTTTATAGAGTTATCACAATATTATAATTCGGGTCACTAGTTAGGTTTTTTATCTTTTTTTATTTTTTTTAATTTTATCTTTTAATATTAAGTTAATTGAAAATTAAACTTCATAATTTATTTTAGTTTGTTTTCTATAAAGTTATTCTGGTCTTATAATTTGGATCATGGATCTAGTCAATTAACTCGAGTTGACTTAGATGGTTTTTTCATGTTTTTTTAATTGATTTTTTTAAACTTATCTTTTAATATTGAGTCGATTGAGAATTGAGTTTCATAATTTATTTCAAATTTTTTTATGTGATCTTATGACTGGGGTTTGACAATTTAACCTGGTTGACCTAACTTGTTTTTCTCATTAAATTTTATTTTTAATTTTATCCTTTAATATTTGATTGATTGAGAACTGAGTTTAATAATTTTTTTTTATTTGCTATCTACATGTTTATCAGAGTTTTATAATCTAGGATAAAGATTTAATAGGTTAATTTAAGTTAATCAAAATAAACTCAAGTTGATTCAGGTAAATTCAATATATTGTTATCTAAATATTTTTAAAAATATAGTCTTAATTTTCTTTAATCAAAATATTTTTCTTTAGTAAAAATATTTTTTATTGATTATTTAAATTATTTTTAAATCAATAAAATTAATTATATCATATTATATCAATCTCTATATAATTTATTTATTTAGTACTATAAAACATATCAGCAATATCTTAATATATTTTTCACTTTCAAGAAAACAAATTGATCCAATCCGAATGCTACTGCAGGCAATTATCAATTTATATACCAGTAAAAAAAAACAACATTGATATCCTCAAATAAATAAATGGTTATACTTAGTTGAAAGGATTGTCACTATCTATAATTTTGTCATTTGTTTTTTTTTTTTTGATTTACGTGGAGTGTTCGGGCCAGCTTACGCGCACCACGACTAATCCCCACGGCCCACTGAACATCCTGCAAGCCCAGTGAGCAGGTAAGACACTGAGGATTGTCACTATCTATAATTTTGTCATTTTTTTTTTATTTGTATGCGTAGATAAATGCTAGGACTAGCTTTAATTTAACATATTAATCCTTCGACTATCACTACCGCTAGGCCAGAACCTCACTTGCAACTCTCACGAAAGAAGAATTGGTTCGAAAACAAAAGAAATTCTTATTCAAATTTGTACAATACCTGATTCGCTCATAAATTCCTAAATTGGTCCGAACACACGCGGTTCATCCTAACACACATATGAAATGAGGCATCTGTTTTTCTTTTAAAATCCTATCTGTCTTAAAAAATTATTTCTTTTTTGTCATTAATTTAATAAATGAGTTATTAGGTTATATAAAAACCCATGAATTAGCTCAATTGATTATAAATTTAAGTTCTTTTAACATTACTAGATATTTATATAATTATTAACTTTAAAATTTATAATATTAGTTAATATACATATAAATTAGTCTGGATATTTATATTAATAAAAAAAAGTGATATAGGGGATCTAATTGAAAAGTATTTTCATCTGGTGACCCAGCTGAGGATCAATGACAGTTTAGGGGACAAATATGCTACTTTCCCTTTATTTTTTTTTTTTTTTTTTTTTTTGTGAACAACTTTACTTAATATATTTTCTGATCTGAAGATTTCTCTTTCTCAATTTTTTATACTTTTCTCCACAGCCACACGAAAAGTTTAATTAGATTCAATTCAAACTCAGAAATCCACTTCTTTCTTTATTCCATATCGAATCTGACGAGAAACCCACTACTTGATTTTGTTTTTTCTTGAAAAATTTGTCGCTAGATCTGTTGCCGTCATTGGGTATTGAGAGGGATTCATTTTTATAACAGCTGTTTTCCCCCACTCTTTTGGCTATTTTAATACGAGAACAACATGAGCTTAGATCATTTCTAGGCTGCTTGAAATGTACTACTAATATGGATTTGAATTTGGTGATACCCATTTGGAGAATTTGTTGTTCGCTGTTGAGATTGAGTGTGTTTTATGGGACTTATTTTGCTGGTTCGGTTTTGAAGGAGTGATTTACTTTTGTTTTGGAGAAACAAAACATTACTACTATGTTTTGGAGGGACCGTGAGAGAGAAAACAAGGACCAAAATGGTGGACCACCTTGTGGTCAGGTTCGGGTTCTGATCGTTGGTGACTCAGGCAAATTTCTCTTCTTTTTTTTGCACTCTTTCTTGATCAGTTTATTGGTTTTGCAATGCTTTTTTTCTTCCTGTGAAATTTTATGTAAGGGGATCCTGGTGGATTGTGCTTATGATAAAAACTTTGTTTGGATGGCACATAGATAGTATTAGAGAGTTCATTGAAGTGGTAGAAGTGAATATATTTAGTGGACTTTAAGTAGTAAGATATGCAATTTCTGCTGAAATCTACTGGAATCAGATGATATAGATTATCGGTAATTTGTTGTATAAATGTACAGTTCCCAATATGACTAATGGATGGTCTAAATACTCCATGTTGGACGAGGAAAAGGTACGCGATGGGCATTGGGTTAATTGCCCTTTTGATGACATGTAATTGATGATGACTCGATAGTTACAATGTGTCATTCATGGTGTAAGATTTGAAGAGGTTGAAGGAGACATTGATTTTGTTATAGACTTGCACTTCCAGACTGGTTTATGCCTTCAGATCTCCAGGGATTAAACTTCAACTCTGAACATCAAGACGACTCCTTTTGGTATTATCTTAATAGTAAAGTGAAATGTCAGCTTCTATTATCAACATATTCTGCCAACATGATGTGCAAGTTGATTTCTCAGGAATTCTATTGTGTTATGATTTTAATTTTACTGGAAATCCCGAGGAGCAGAATTCGGATTGAGGTTTGAAGAAGGGAAAAAAAACTGGAACCTGACCAATTTTTATAAATTTATGTAGCTACTCCTGTAGCAGTTTTATGCACAGAAATTAGCCTTTGTGATGTAGGAATAAGCTCTGGATTCTGTTCAAATAAGGGAAAGTCGAACAATTCCCTTAATGATTGTGCTGGTGTCTTAGCGTGGCAGGGGGGAGAGTAGACGTGTAGAGCATGTCCTGTGGATGGCAAGAACAGTTCAGACTCCTCTAGGTTTATGCATGCATGGGGGGCATGCGGGATGGGCATAATAGTTGTTCTTAGCCATTAGTAATAATATATAATAAAAGGTTAAAACAGTTGCCTGCATATTGATTCTCAAAATAAATTCGCCTTCTTGTGCTCAACTCCACATGCATTGTGACATGTTGGAGGTCCTCGGATTTGCTTGCATGATTTCTGGGTTGCTTGTTTGAATTGAAAGTTGTTTTCTCCTGTAATAATTGTTCTTAGCCATTAGTAATAATATATAATAAAAGGTTAAAACAGTTGCCTGCATATTGATTCTCAAAATAAATTCGCCTTCTTGTGCTCAACTCCACATGCATTGTGACATGTTGGAGGTCCTCGGATTTGCTTGCATGATTTCTGGGTTGCTTGTTTGAATTGACAGTTGTTTTCTCCTCAATGTTCCTGACTGTATTTCCTGCTTTGGTAGCTGAGTTCAAATTCTTTTCTTTCTTTCTTTATCCTTGTAGGTGTGGGTAAAACATCACTTGTTCATCTTATTATCAAAGGTTCTTCCATCACTCGCCCTCCACAAACAATTGGATGCACAGTTGGTGTGAAAGTAAGGTTTATCATGACTTTGTTACTTGACAGTAACTTGGTGGTATATTATTAGAGTTCAAAGTCTTAACTAAGTTCTTACCTTCACTCCTTTACAGCATATTACTTATGGTAATTCTGGCAGCTCATCAAGCAGCATCAAAGGTGATTCTGAGAGAGATTTCTTTATTGAACTCTGGGACGTGTCAGGTCATGAGCGATACAAAGATTGCCGGTCTCTATTCTATTCTCAGATTAACGGTGAGTTCCATACTTTCTTCATGGTTAGCTGTCTTTGCTAAACTTTGACAATACATATTTAGTAATAACCGGCATGTATTTATGGCTATGCATACACCAGTTAAAAACATTTTCCTCTCTTTTTAGGCATGCATGTCTGTTTAGATATGATTACATATTAGATTTTTCAATGTGAAAAGATTTTGATAATTGTAGCATCTCTTTCTTGGAAACTTCTAGTAAATATCCTTATTCATTTATATATTTGGCAGAAGGCATTTGATTAGAATCAGGCATTTGCTATTTTTGTGCCAGTCTTGTAGGAAGCAAGTGGTGTTTACTACCTAATTCAATGGTTATTTTTCATTAATGAAGTACTTGAAGGTGCAGTGCAGTAGATTTAGAAAATGGTTTAGAGTTTTGTTTCTACTCCTTGTCTGATAAATTGGGGTTTTTGGGGCAAATCTGCTAAGTACATGTGGAAATGATATTCTGTAAAGCTTGTTAAGACAGCTACAACATCATTTTCATTTTCACTACCTCTTATCCAACAACATTCAGATGGTTCTTTTCTGATTATTCCCTGTCATAACCATTGTGGCTCTTCACCTTGTGAAACTTGCAAGATGTGCTTTCTTTGATTCTTGCATATGATTCTCACTTTAAATTCTCCAGGGGTTATTTTCGTTCATGATCTCTCCCAGAGAAGGACCAAAACAAGTTTGCAGAAATGGGCATCAGAGATTGCTGCAACTGGAACATTTTCAGCCCCTCTGAGTTTTGGAGGTCCTGGTGGTCTCCCTGTCCCTTATATTGTTGTCAGTAACAAAGCTGATGTTGCTGCAAAAGAGGGTACTAGAGGAAGTAGTGGCAACCTTGTTGATGCAGCACGTCATTGGGTTGAGAAGCAGGGTTTGCTTCCTTCCAGTGAGGAAATTCCATTGACTGAGAGTTTTCCTGGAAGTGGAGGACTGATTGCAGTAAGCATCTCAACTTAAGCTTTCTGTTGTAAATATTTATTTAATGCCAATAGGAGTCAATGTTTCTGTGTGTGAATTAATATTTCAAAGGAGTAAATGTGGAAATTGTAAAATATAATAATATTGGAAGAAAACAGCTGTCTGTGGAAATTGTAAAATATAATAATATTGGAAGAAAACAGCTGTCTCTTTCCTTTTTCTTCTTATTTTTGCTCCTATTCTTCTTTGTGTCTTTCTCTCTCTGTGCAGAAGAGCTTACCCTGCTCTTTTATGAGATCTCTCCTGTCTATCCGCTTGTCCCCATTGTCACAAGACTGGTCTTCATGGGAACCTTTCTCTTGAGTTTCTTTCTCTTATCATAATTCATTGTATTCACGAGCTTTCTTCCTCTTCTTCCACACTCACACTTGCACACTTCCACACAAATGACCACAGCTAAATGTTCATCGTATGATCGCAAACTCAAGAAACATAATCACAAATCTAGAGAAAATTTTTTATTATTTATTGATGTTGCATGTCTAAGATAAGTGACAAGTTGGTATGGCATTTCTTGTTTGTGCAACAACCATGCAGTTCTGTTAGTTTTCTCAATGATTGGCATTTGGCGGTAGGGAGATTTCAGACTTATAAAAGTGATACTCCATGGAGTGATGTGGCAAGTTGGTATAGCGTTTCTTGTTTGTGCAACAACCATGCAGTTCTGTTAGTTTTCTCAATGATTGGCATTTGGCGGTAGGGAGATTTCAGACTTATAAAAGTGATACTCCATAGAGTGATGCCTTCGTAGCTGGTTATGTGTATTTCTCAGGGTGTAGAATTTTAGGCATGATATTTTCTATTGTAGATCCCTTGTAGCTGGAATCTTGTGCTTTCCATCTCTATTGCTCTCTTTTTTTTTCTTGTTCTTTTCTTTTCTCGGTCTGAAAGTGTATTTCGAAAAAGAATTTATGCATTGAACTTTTGAATGACAGAGATTTCTAATCCAGGTGGTGAGTTTTTCTAAGCTTGTTTTTTCTATCTTGAAATTATCAGTAGTCAATGTAATAGCTTGGCTAAAATTTAGGTAGTTGGTCTAATCAGATGACTTACCCTTAGTTTACAGTTGGTACTTCTAGCATAGGATGTATGAATAAATGTGAGGTGCTTTTAAGAATTATCTCAAATATATTGTGCATGCTAGCTAAAATCATGGTCAGTCAACTTAATCCCATCCTCTTCATATCTGATATGAACTCTGCATAATGGTGTCTTTGTTAACATGGGCAGGCTGCCAAAGAAGCAAGGTATGACAAAGAAGCTGTGGTAAGATTTTTTCGAACGGTAAGTATTCAGCTCTTACATCTTCAGCTTTTAGCATGTCTGTGTATATTTATTTATTTATTCTTCATGCTGGACATTTTCCAACTTTTGGATCACTTTTCAGTTGATCAGGAGAAGATATTTTTCTGATGAACTACCCACACCAAGTCCATGGTCTGCTTCTCCAGTTCAGAGATCTGTCCAGCGTTTAGATGAAAATATAAGTGATGAGGATCCATTTTACAAGGCTACAAGGTAGCCAGTAGTGATGATATTTCTATATTTGTTTGCTGTGCAAGATATTCATGTATTCTATCTGTGTTCCACTAAACAAAAAGGTCACTGTTGTATAGATTAAGATGAAAGCTGCATTTCACAGTAAAGAAGAGGTCAAAAATAGAATTTCCTCATCACCAAGATACCCGGGGGGTTGCTTTTTCTCAATGCTGAAAAGCAGCGTTGTGCTTGCATTGAAAGTGCATTTTTTAACAGATCCTAAGATCATGTTTATTATGCACTTTGCTTTGTTGATATTTTTGCCTCCCAGAATCTTATTTGATCTTTTCTTGGGGGCTGTTGGGGGAGTGAGTGGTTGCTGGCCTCCATTGATATGTTCTGCTTAAGAATGAGAGAAGAATTGTTGAAACTGTTACTAATATTTGATTTTTTTTTTTTGGCTTGGTGAATGGCGATACAACTTAGAAGTTTGGTTTGGGTGTTGCTATGCTCAGATTCTATTTTTATAATTTGTTATATTGCAGTGCATCATCTACTCGTATTACTTTGATTTGTGTTCAATTGGGTTCATGACCGGACTTCTGCTATTGCAGCTTAGCAGGCGACTCTTACAAATACAACATGCTCCCTCCCCTGCCAGCTCAACGAAATCTTACACCACCTCCAACTCTTTACCCACAGCAGCCGGTTTCGGTCACAGAGAGTTATGGCATTCCAAGATTTCCTTTGAGTGGTTCCCAAGAAATAAGCAACACTGCAAGATCGAAGCGCATGGATATTAACGTTTGATGATCTTTGGCTCTGGCTTAGCCGGGCACAGGATGCACATTTCCATGAGGCTGAACTTCTGCTTGTTAAAATGGAATTCTTCCTCTTCTGCTTGTGAACCGTTGAATTGATTCTTTTCCATGCCCTACACCGCTGCAAGTTTTAGAGTTACAGTGGTCACAACTTACATGTAAATTGATTGATTGGTCACCCTGAAGTAAAGGCAATTATTCTCCACGGAACTTGTCTTTTCAATCTGTGTTTGCTTTTGAAGAAGGAAAATATACTCTTGAACTGTTGTATCCCAGAGATTCTGCTACTGGTATCTTCGAAGGGATTCATTGTTGAAGCATACTGCATTACAATTTTCAATCCCTTTCCTCAAGGCCAAAAGGGAAGGTTTAAACTGGCTTTCAATCTCTCTGTATCTGCATTGGATCGAACAGACTTTAAGCAATGAGGGTGTAATACTAAATTTGTTTGAATCTCTCATTAAATTTTTGCCTTAATCCAACACAACTAAGTCTTTTTACTTTCAATCAAACAAAAGATATCACGATCTCAGTAATTGTATATATTAATCACATTTAAAAGAAAAACATCCCAGAATTGGTATATCAATGAAATGCCGAAGACTCAAAGGCTATTCAATGACAATATAGCATGTCACGTCGAGAGTTTGGTTGCCCGTGATGAGCTATTTTCTAATTAAATATCTATTTTTAAGCTGTGTTTTCAAGCTCAGACTGGATGCGTCAATATTTTTAGCAGCCATTTAATTTAATTTGTCTTTATCATATGATCTCTTCAATACCTAAAGTAGATAAGATGTTATTGATTTCTCACTAATTTTCCCTCAAATCAGATTCGTAAAGAGTTATTTAGGTGTTTGGTACAAGCAAAACTCGAATTCTCTCTCAAGACATCTTGAATATCAAACATTTGTGCTTGTTTTGTCGGTGATTATTCATATTCATTTTTTTATATATATAACTTAGGATATTTGGATCAGTTTACCTGCACTATTACTAATTCTCAAGTCCACTAAATATTTTATAAATCTAATAAATAGATAAAATATCATAAAAATAATAGATATAATCAAATCTGAATACAGAGGGAACAAATCTTTTTATTTACCGGGTTACAAACTCAAGTGCAACTATTCATACTCTAGAAACTACTGAATGTGATCTTTTTCTCTAAAATAGAAGAGTCTAATATTTTAGAGTGATTAGGAATGTTAAATCTTTATCTGATATTTTATAGTGATTAGCGATGTTAATTTTTTTTTTACTTAACTGCCCATGTTTTTTTTTAAGGGGACCGCCGTACTTATATATATGTGTGTGTGTGAAAAGGAAAGACAAGTTTATTGTAATCGTAGACACATTTTCCTAGTCACTATAATATTAACATGAAGATGATCTTATTTTGATCTTTTTATATAATATATTAGTCTTTAAAATTTATCTGGGGCTATAACTGTCTTTTCCCTTTTTTAACAGTAAAATGGCATCATTTCCTCTAAAATCAAGAAATTATAAACCTAGCTGGGAGCATAAACAAATCTTTTTGTTTGTTAATATATAATTAAAATAATTATCAAGGCGTTCTGCCATTCCCAAACCAAGTCAGCCGGAAGCCCTGCCTCCGAAACCCCTATGGGATGGTGTGACCAAATGGCTGACCACAGACAAAGTGACGGTGATGGTTACATCCTGGTTGTTTTTATATTTAAAAGTATTTAAAAAAATTTAAATTAATTTAAGTATTTAAAAAAATTAAATTTATTTATTTTTTTATGTATTTAAATATTTTAATATGTTAATATTAAAAATAATTTAAAAAAAATAAAAAACAATAATATTTTTATAGATAAAAATACTTTTAAAAAATCATTACCATGCTCCAAAACAATCCAAAACCATCACCATACCTTGACATGTTTTAGAAAATAGCTAAAACTTCAAACGGATCAGTGAACTTCAAGCACGTGCTACACTGGTTTTGATGCATTACAATGTATCAGACAAACTCAGTAGAGAAAGACAAGACATGGAAATCTCTCCTGATATTAGAACTGGAAAACTCGAAAACTCAGAAACTCTTGGACTCTTGTTACACGTTTGCATTGAAAGATCTATATAATTGATGATTATAAAAAACTGGTTTTATATACATTTCTATAAATATATTAGATATTTACATTAAATATCTTATAATTTAGATATTTATTAAATATCTTAAATATTTTTTAAGATATTTATCTTGAACATAAAAAAAAAATCTCTCTAGGGCTCATCTCTTTAATTAGTCAACATAAGTCTAACAAACACAAGTCCAATCGAAATCTTAAACCAATTTTAAAATACATTTTAGTCTATAAAATAATATTTATTTATAAATAAAAAATACTTTAAAAAAATCATTACCACGCTCCAAAACAATCCAAAACCATCACCATACCTTGACATGTTTTAGAAAATAGCTAAAACTTCAAACGGATCAGTGAACTTCAAGCACGTGTTACACTGGTTTTGATACAGTACAATGTATCAGACAAACTCAGTAGAGAAAGACAAGACATGGAAATCTCTCCTGATATTAGAACTGGAAAACTCGAAAACTCAGAAACTCTTGGACTCTTGTTACACGTTTGCATTGAAAGATCTATATAATTGATGATTATAAAAAACTATACACTGGTTTTATATACATTTCTATAAATATCTCTATAAATATATTAGATATTTATTAAATATCTTAAATATTTTTTAAGATATTTATCTTGAACATAAAAAAAAAATCTCTCTAGGGCTCATCTCTTTAATTAGTCAACATAAGTCTAACAAACACAAGTCCAATCGAAATCTTAAACCAATTTTAAAATACATTTTAGTCTATAAAATAATATTTATTTTCCCCATCATATATTCAAATATTATACTCACATAAACATTAAAGTGTTTTTTTTACGGGTGTAGTTTTTCAAATCCAGTTTTATCAGCCAATAAAAATCACCATAATCTTTCTCCTCGTAATTTTTTCAAGTCTCATGATCCTTGATACTCAGCTAGTAGTTTATATATATATATATACTGCTGGTTAATAATATCTATCATATTGCTGAGCTTCATGAGCAACACCAGAGATCTGTTTAAACAACAAAAATAAAATAAAACAATGACAAATAATTAGTTAAAAAGACGATAAACTAGCTAGGTTTGCTCAAAGTTCATCATGTCTGCTCTCCTGGTCATCTGAATTGGATAGCCTATTCTTCACCTTTTCTGCCGCTTTATGCATTGCTTCTACCATCACTTCTGCAGCCGATTCAGCTGATGTTTCAGCTGTCTTTTTGCTTGTCCTAATACATTTCTCCACGACCTTCTTCATCTTTTCACCTCCACCATCTCCACTCCTAGTGCTCTCTTCTTGATCAGTGCTTCTAAAACTGAGCCAAGAAATATGAAAAACAACAGAACATTAAGAAAACCATACCACAAATTACTAATTAAACAGTATGGTCGTTTCAAGGGAAGAAAAGGAAGAACTCAGATGGTATTTTTTTTTTTATCTCACTCTAAATTTGGTGGATAAAACTGTATCTGCAAATCACGGATGATGATTTTGACTTTGTCCCAAGAATTACCACAGGATCTCTTCAACAAAGATATCTGATCTGTTACTATCCTAGTAAGATATGGTGGTTCTTCTAGCATCTCTCGGGAAACATGATCTGCATCTCCAGCCACTGAAGGGATCTGAGAAGAGAGAATAAAGAACAAGAGAACAAACGATATGGTGATTCTTTCACATGTATCCATTCGGATCGCTTTATAATTTGGAGGATAAAAAAGCAGAAGGGTGTTCTATCAAAGGAGAACTGATCATTTTATGCGAGTGGGGAGGTTATTTCGAAATGCCATGCGCGTTCCAATCCCATACATGAGTGACGTGAGGGTAGCATAATTCCGTGTAGATAGACTCGTTTGAAGATTTCAAAACGTTGTTGGGAGATGATCTGATACAAGCCAAGTGCAATATTGCAAGATCTGCCTCCTATTACTAGCTAGCAAAATTATAGCACAGGAGGAGTGACCAATGAATAGGCGTGAATAAATTTGAATATGGTAAAAATGAGCCCCATCATAGTGTACCTATAGTCTCATCAAATATATTTGATGGAGATAAAAACAAAACAAAAGTACAGCAACCTGTCTATTCGGGCCATGGCCCGAACAACAACTTTGTCGTCCGCTAACAACTCGCCGACAGCCTGGTTGTCCACGAAGTTGTTTGGGTCTTGGCTGAACAACAAACCGTGGACATCTAGGTTGTTAGCTAAGTTGCCTGTGCCTTGGCCCAAAAACAAACAGCGGGTAGTCGAATTACAGGGGTGCGGACTGAGATTGCGTGGATGGTGAAGATTTAAAGTATTTTTTAGTTAGAATTATATTAAAATAAAATTTTTATTTTTTAATAATTATTTTTTATATTAACATATTAAAATAATTTAAAATCATAAAAAAATTATTTTAAATATAAAAATTAAAATTTAAGGGAATATGATTTATACTACGTTCCCTAACACACTTTAAAGAGATAGGTTAAGAGTAGATTATTGCTTATAATTTTTTAAAATATGCATTGTTTTTAATTGTAAGATAATTGAAATAATATTTTCTAAACATGTAATAAAGAGCTCGTAGCATTAAAAAATATATGATTTATCTTTCAAACAATAAAGAAGTAGTATGTAAAAAATTTATATCAACTATCTCAAAATTCACATAAAAATTAAATTGTAAAATATAAAGCGACATCAATCTAACATAGACATTCTTTAAGCAATTCAAAACAAAAAGTAAACGATGAACAAAAAGAATATGAAAGGCCAACTTTTGAGTGAAAAGTGAAGTTCCAGCAATTGTTAACAAATAAAGAGTAATAAATGTTTGGACCTTATGTATAAAATATTATTGTAAAGACCTGAACAACTTAGGTAATTATCTACAAAAATATTTTATACATCAATCTATGTATCTGGATGCAGTGTATAAAATGAGTATGGTATATACTTTAAACACTCACCTTAAAAAAAAATTAAAGAAAAAGCAACTTAAAAATATTTAAAACATTTAAACTTTCTCGGGCAAACATTGACTAAATGGTTTCCTCCAATAGATTATGCATACACACACAAAACAAAAAAGACTCCTTAATATAAATTGAAAAACTTATCCACTCTTCTAATTTAAAAAAAAAAAACCCAATAACCATTGTATAAAGTAACAAAAAAAAATCATAAACAATAAACAAATATAAAATTGAGAAAATCAAGTGAAAAATAAAGATCAAAATATCTCAAATTTCAACACAGGTATTTTACATGGTTATGTTTAATAAATTTCTCTATCAAAATAAATTTGTAATAAAAAAACATAAAAAAATTTATAACAGAAACCAACACATATAAAATTTATTGAACAATTTTTTTTTTTTGTGTGTGTATTAAAAAAAATACAAGGTTGCACATAACACATGAATTCTATTGAACAATAATTAAAAAATACAATGTTAGGCTGCACATATGAAAAATCTTATAAAAAAATATCAATATTTGAAAAAAAAATTAATCTATATAAAATTAACAAAAAAACATAGACGAATCGTACTCACCTCTCTATAAACTAAACACACTCAATATCATTTAAAAATAATCACAATGTAATTAAAACATAAACAACAAAAAAATTATTTGCAAAAAATATACACAAATAATGTATTATTTTTTAATATATATATATATATATATATATATATATATATAAAAGAACTAGGGCGTTTGTGGACTTAGTAAGTCAAGTCTAGTGCCCGGCCCAATAAAGCAATGGTCAGCGTTCGGGCTTGCAATGCTAGGCCCAAGCATAGGCCATTTTTAAAAAGTTTAAATGGGCAGACGATACATGTTTTAAAAAATAATGATGCATCACTTGCTTCAACCCAAAATCCAACCATTATAGTAGCTAAAAAAACAATGTCCATTATTTTTTTTATCTAAAATCTCATTTTTCACTTATTTTTTACTCAAAACACCTAGGTTAGAATCCAGCAACTCCCTGTCTCTCCTCCCAACAGAAAATGATTGAATAAAAAGGAAAATGAAGTTAGGTACCAAAATATATTGTCTTGAAATTCAAGAGACCGGTTGCCTTATACCTAAAAATATAAGGGATTAAAATGAATGTTTCAATAAAACTTTCAACCCGCCCTCCATGTTACCCAAGATTTTCACTTCAGTCCCTTAGCTTTCAATTCAATCCTCCCCCTAAAAAAATATACAATTGAGGGCTAATTGGGCTTTAAAGAGCCAAATCGCACAGAATAAAAGTTTAAGAATCAATGTGAAATTTTTATATGCATTACTCCAAACCACAATCAATTGTGAGAGGGTATACAGTAATCTTAAAGGCTGATGCCTTTTAGTTTTATATAATTTGTTGTGTTACTTGGACCTCGTCATTTAGGTTGGGTGTTGATCCAAACCTAACGATTCCAGGTTGTGATGAGACCATAAAAACTTTGAATTGAATCTAGGTCTTTCATGATTAACGAGCCATGTTAGAACTTGATCATTGTGTAATGATAGGATAAAGTGATTGGATTTGGCCACTGCTTAATAAGTTAAAAATTTGGCTAAACTTGGTCATTCTTGTTTGTTTTTATATTTTTCTTATGCTATGTAAAAAAGTTGGCGCTCATGAGTGATTGATGAGAAAAATTGGTGCCCACTAAAAAGATAAGTTGATGAGAGATTACCATTGACGAGAAAAATTAAATTGTAGTGACAGCTTATGCATAAACACACGAGGTTAAGCAACCGTGTGAATTTATTAGAGACTATCATTATGTATTATGATGTATACCAATATTAGATTCCAATGGATTGAGCTAAAAAAAAACATAGCAGAGCATGTTGTCTTTAAATAGATAGCTTTTTATTCATGTAATGAACATGGTTAGTCCATTCGAGCATGGCTTACAAGCATAGTCTTTTTCTTTATGGGCTAGGCATATGGGCCCTTCCAAGCCCATACACTTAGTTTTTTTTAAATATATTTTAAATTTAAATCTATTAAAATAGATTAATTTAAAATAAGTATTTTTTTCATTTCAATCACATAATGAAACGACCACACATCAAGGAGCATTTTTGTATCTTCACAATGTTTTTTGTTAATATAATATTAGTCAAAGGGCAATTTGGTATTTTATAAAATAAAAAAAATAAAAAGCATGGTGAAACAACTAAAATGCTCTTATAAATAAAAAATTTTAAACAGAGTTAATAGATTTTTTCATTTTTTCATAATAATTTTTTGTTCATATTAAGTCAGTTTAGAGACAATTTAAAATTTTACTACATGTGTGTATGTAAAGGTGACAAACATGTGGTGTATTTTCTGGTACATGAGAGGCACCCACACCCTTCAAGTGGTGTCTCTTTACATTCAAACATTCTATTTTTTTGTATTGTTGAAAGTGTCATCGTATTATCTTTTTAATAAAGCAATATGTGTCGACAACAACAATTTTATTTGTAATTGAAGGACTTTTTTTTCCTGCTTTAAAAAGGTTAAGGTTGAATAAGGACTAAAAGGTAAAGAATAAAAATAAAACATAAAAAAATATTGACTAAAATTGAATTACCAACACAAATGACCAAGTTATTATATCTAGGGGAGAAAAAACAAAAGAAAAAAAAATATCACCAATAACAAATTAAATTACCAAACCTTACACATGTCGCTTTACATCAAAAAGACACGACGTCATTTTTAACAAATTGATTATTTTTAAACATTGTAAAGTACTACACATGTTATTAAAAATGTTCAAGCGTCTCTCCCATACCTATGTCTTTTATTTTAGCTAAATATTAAATCACTCTCAAACTTTAATAATAACGATAAAATCATTCTGAAAAATAAATAAGTTCCCAGGTTTTAGTTTTAAAATTCTTTCTTTTAAAAGCATTTTAGTTGTTTTATTATATATAAAAAGAAAATCTTGTTTGTTTTGGATTAATTTAGTTATAACTAACAGGTACGGTTAAAAAAACTTTAATGCTCTCACAAGTTAGTGTTAATTTTTTTTTACTGGTATTACACTGTAGTAAACAGTGTATACGAGTTATAGTGATTTTCAAAGGGCAAGTAGTTCTTTTTAATTATTCAAAAAATGTATTTAATGCTAAGTTACAAAAATGCATTAATTAATTAACGGAAGCTTAATTTCTTTGAGACCTGGAAGCGTAGCCGTAATAAGATAAATTCATTATTGAACCAAATAAAAAATAAAAAACCCGCCCCTCTCTAACGAAAAACCTTAAAAAGGAAACGAAAAGAAAAAATAAAATAAAGAAATTATTAACTATTCAAGGTAATCTTTGAAAGCTAGTTTAGATATCTACGCTGGTTCGATTCCTTAACATCACCAAACTGCTTTTGTTGTCTGAAACTTTAGAAATCAACTTCTACTTTAGGTTTTGTCATTAGGGTTCTTGATGAAGTTCGAAAAATATTGAGCTTTAATAAGAAATTTGTTCTCCCTCTTTTTCTTCTTGTTAATTCGACCGTGTTTGATTTATTTGTGAGTCACAGTATGTCAGGAGAAGAGGAAGAGAATGCTGCCGAGCTCAAAATCGGAGATGGTAGTACTCTACCTTTGAGTCTTGATATCAGTTTAACGTGCGATTTAGCAGATTTTTTTTATGATGGGTTTTGTTTTCTTTTTAGATTTTTTGAAAGCCAAGTGCTTGATGAATTGTGAAGTTGCTTTAATTCTTGAGCATAAGTATGAGCAGCTTCAACAGATGTCTGATGATCCTATGAATCAAGTATCCCAGTAAGTAATACAGTTTTACAGTTCTGAAATTACTGTGCTGTGCATCTTTCAAGTCTGCGTTGCCGTACTTGTGTGTTTGTGTGTGTGATATGTGGTTGTATTGGTTGAGTAGCTTTTGGCTTGTTTTGAGTTTAGCATATTCACAGACGGACTTTCTGGTTTCTGTTTAGTTGGATGACATAAATTGATTCTAGAGGGGAGATGATAGGGGAGATGATACAAAAATCATGCAAAGCGTCTTCTTCTTTTCTTTTCTTTTTTTCTTTGATTAAGCTAATCGAGCATAGATTTTTCAATATCTTCTTCTCGTGTTGAGGTTGTCTAAATCATCTTAATGACAGTGAGGAGCTTATGGTCACTTTATGATAAATAGGTTTAGTCTAAATCATGAATGTAGGAACTAGGAGGCCTTTGATGCAATGTTTTGGAGGTAACTTCATTGTAAAAATTAAATGATACCAATAAAGTTTGCCCCTGCTGGGAAAAAAAAATCTGCTCCTGATGGTTTGTCAAACAAAGGTGAAAACTGACGAGGTTTTGCATGCCTTAAATCTACGTTTTCTTTTTTCGAATGTGCTTAAGTATTGTTTTTCATTGCATTGCAGAGTATTTGAGAAATCACTGCAGTATGTGAAACGCTTTAGCCGCTATAAAAATCCCGATGCTGTCAGACAAGTTCGAGAGTATCCTTGAACTATAAAGAAATTCTAGAATATTTGATAATGTTGAGGGTTTCCTTTTAATTATTCTGTCATGTTTAGTTACCATGGATTCAAGTTTCTAGGATCTCACTTTTATTGAGTGCTGATCAAAGGATCAAAGGACAATGGCAATTATTTTTCATCAGTAAAAGATGGGGGCGGTTTGTTAGTTAGAGGATGATGCATGTAATTGGTTTATAGTTTGTTTTCAAATTTCTAGTATCTTGCAGAATCTTTGTGAAAACTTAACCAGCATCCAGAATTCTTAGCCGATACCAGTTGGCTGAATTTGAGGTAAATTACAGTTACACGATGAATTGAGATTTATGTTTCTACTCATGATACAGAATATAATAAATTGCAATTATTTATCTTGTAGCTTTGTGTTCTTGGCAACCTTTGCCCAGAAACAGTCGAGGAAGCTATTGCCATGGTACCTTCTATCAAGGTTAGTCTTTTCAGACATTTGGTTTGGCCCTTCTATTTAAGACTAATTCTCACCAGGTCAATATACAGTGATAATGAAATCAACAGAGGAGACAAACAAATAAATTGATGCATGCTACCAATCTAGGCACTTTTCTCCCTCTCTAGTTTTTTTTTTAAAATAAAAAATAAAACCAAGAACTTATGTTATGCTGATCATTTTGTTGGGGTTTTATTGGACAATGAAAGTAGCTATTTTTCATGATATTACTAGGCACTGCTCCCGAAAGAAATTGACAAGTGTTTTATTCATTATATTATGCGATTCTCATAATTCAAAGAACCTTTATGAACCAAATGTATTTTTTAATGTACATGAAAGGCCGGACTCACAATGATGAAGCAATTGAGAAAATGTTGAATGAACTGTTATTGATGAATAAATCTAATTTGAACGTTACTTAACCAAATGTCTTTGTTATGTAGACCAAAGGCCGAGCTCACGATGATGAAGCAATTGAGAAAATGTTGAATGACCTGTCATTGATCAAGAAATTTGAATAGGGGCTACAATATCCCCTTCCTTTTCAATCTGGATGATTGTCATCTAAATGTTCAAGGCTTTTTCGCTTGCAAGAATGAGAGTGGTTTAAGCTGTTGATGGCTATCAATATCGTTCTAAATTTCATCTGAGCCAAATGGTTTATACATCAGTCCTTATGGCCATGTACTGTGATACTGCTCTCACGTGACATTTGGTAATTACTTGCACTTGATATCAACTGCCTATTCGAATGTTACAGTTCAGTCTTTGTTTTGACCCGTTTATAAATAGCTATATGATTTAAGACAAACTGAACCTAGAATTGACTAACTGCTGCATGTTTTAAGTTAGCTATTTAGTTTGATGGAAGATATTAACTTTTTTCTTTCAAAAAAAGGGAACGGTGATTAAAGCTTGTAGTTTTTTGGTGCGTGTTTGGTATTGCATCATAGGTTACTTTTCAAATTAAAATGATGTTTTTTCATATTTTTATTTTTGATACACATTAATATCATTCAAAAAAACAACCTATAGAATGCTTTGTGAGAGGTTGTTCCCTTGGAATTCCGAGTCCAGGCTAAAAAACAACCTATAGAATGATTTTCTACTCAAGATTTTGGAGGAACCTTGACATGATGCGACCGCGCGTTTCCTCTACTCCGTTTTATCCACACCACATTTTTCATTTTCCATGGCAACAATTATATTCTCCAGCAAACCCCAAGTTGATTTTCAGGACGTTAATTGAAAAGGAGCAACCTGTGTTAAGGAGTTTTACACATACTGCCTGCTATCCTGCATTATACAGATCGTAACACGATCAAACCAGAAGCAAAACTTGGATCACAAGATTTCCCATCCCAGACTTTAACGAGGACCTGTATTTCTATTGCTATTATTTACAAAGATCGAGTTCCTGGCACAAAATAGGCCACATCACTTCCTAGGATCTTTACAAGACAAAATTCGTTTAACAAAGTGTGATGATCAATGTAACTGTATAGCTCTCAATTCCATCTCTTTGAATTCTTCAACCCTTTTGACTTCTGTTTGGCAGCCTGATAGGCCTGAATTTTTTGTTTCTTCCGAGCTTCCTTCTCAGCCTGTTATAAAAGAACAAACTTTGGCTCAAATCACCGCCATTGCTTACTTTGTAACAGGAGTAAACAAGTGGCAGAACTCACCTTTGACATCTTAGATTTGGCCTTTACTTTGGGAGCCTTGTCCTCAAGCTCCGCCTCTCGTTCAAGCTCTCTCACCCTTGCGTCCAGATTTTTCTCCAGATAATACTGTGAATCACAAAAATTTGGAGCCAACCAACCATTAACATCCTACATTTAAGATTATAATGCACCCAGACTTCTACTTGTGCCATACGTGCAGGATTAGTAAGAAACTTTGATTTCTTAATCTTCAATGTATCAAGCATTGGTTCGAGGTAAAAAAAAAAAAATGTGGCCTCACAAAGTTCCATAATAAAAAAATTTACATGAAACAGGCATGAAAATACATGGCCCCCCATCTTAGAAATAAATATTGTGACTTTAATACTATCACTCTAGGTGAATAGCATGCCAGAAGATGCGTAGTTGTAAGATGAAAGAAGAGAGAAGCAGAAGGAGGACTTACATTGTAATCGCCTGCATAATCCTGTAACTTGTCGTCTTTGACTTCCACTACTCTATTAACTATTTGCTTTATGAAATAACGGTCATGAGAAACTGTAATGACTGTGCCTTTGTATTCTGATATGGCCTCCTGATGTCACAATAAGTCATATATCGACCATAATGTCTAAAGCAAAATAAAATGTAAAAGAAATGGAAACAAAACAAATATGTAAAAGACCAAACCTCAAGCATCTCTTTTGAAGGTATATCCAAATGATTAGTTGGTTCATCCAAAACTAATAAAGTTGAAGGTTTAACCATGAATTTGCAAAACGCTAGGCGTGCCTGAAGGAAACAGAAATAAAACACTCAAGACTTCAAGCTTCATTAAAAGAAAAGAGAATAAAAAGGGAAGACAGCACAATTAAAAGAATTAGTATAGAAAAACATGTGGCATAATGTGTTCCATTCATACAAAACTATAATAACGAACCCACTCGACCAATAACAACAATCTAGACATCAAGTATCAAAAGTCCAAAAGCATATTGAATGTGTGCATGCAATATATATAAGTACAAATATGTTAAAACTTTGGTGAGTTTTATTATTTTTTGTGGATAAAATATACTTGCAAATTATTACAATCAGTGAAAATTCAGAGTTTGGCCACTAATAGGAATCATGTTCAGTTTAAAATATTTCCATTTCGGAATATCTCCAAAATGTAATATTTGTGATTTTATTAGTTGTGAACTCTACTTCTAATAAGTTTAATATTCATAAGTTAATGAGCAAAATGACCAACTAAATTCTAGGAAGACCAACACAATTAGACGATTTTATTAGCTTTAGTCAAAACCAACCACTTTAAAGATAAAATAATGGTTTATTAGCATATCTTAAGCTTTGATAATTGTACTGTTATCTTTAGACTGTTTTCTTGCTTATGATACCAGCATAATAATATCTTCACCTCCTTTTCACTATAGATAGTATTCTTAGGTTCAACACGAGTACATGCTAACTAGTTAGTTCGTGGATGTTTAAGAGACACAGTGTTGCATAGAAGTGATGCAATAAAAAAACACCAAATCGATAAAAAAATGAGCAAGCAATTTAGAGAGATCTAACATGACTTTCAAAACCTCATGCTATTCATCAAAAATAAAAGGAAGATCTATCATGACAGGTGAGGATAGGAGACAATGTATAGGGGAGCCATGAGAGTAAATACAAGGCAGATACAATGGATAGGAAACGATGTAAATCAGAACTATATTTATTGGTGTAAAATGAAACCCTTAATTGAGAAATAAGTGTATTTATAGCATAGAAGAGGTGGCCTTCACCCATAAGAAAGTTCTTACAGTGAAAAAATAGTTGATGAAGAGGAACTAGAGTTTGATATATGCCACAGTGACATGTGATTTGATATTGAGCATCTATGAGTACGGAAAGGAAAAGGTTGGCATGCCAAATCCCCTAAACTCAAAAGCTTAAATTCCTTTGCAAATACCTCAAGAATCCTATTCATCATGTCTAAAGAAACTAACCACAACCGGATAGAGAAGAGGAATTATTTATGTGTCACATGCCATATGCCCTGTGCTTAGAACAGAGTGCAAACTATGATATGCATTATACCTAGGAGAATATAACCTAACTTAATCTAGCTATATCTTGTGGATAGGGTAATTACACCGTGCTTGTATTGTCTTGTTGAACTAAACAGCATATATCAAGAAGCATCAACAATCATATATTGCATTGAAACAAACCCAGGTATCCATCTGCTTAAAAAGGACAACAAAAGTATTGACGATGAGAGCTAATGAAGGAAATATTGTTTCTCATCTCATCCAATTTTTCAGTTGTTAATGAATGTTAAGCACGTGCAGTATCATGAGCTCTGTACAAATTAATATCTAGTACAGAATAGAAGAATTTTTCAAGAAATGGATGGAAAAGCAGGACAAATTTCTGTAAAACAACCAATAGAGCATAGAGTGAGCAATAGAATAAAGATGTGAGATTGAAGATTTTATAAGAGAATCTCAATTTAGTTTACCTTTTCTCCACCACTCAAAAGTGAAACCTTTCTATCAAGCATATCCGCTTTGAAGTTACAACGACCAAGGAGTCCCTTTATATCATCAAGTCTCCAGTCCTCTGCAACTTCTTCCACTGTTTGAAGTACTGTTTTATCTAAATCAAGTGCCTCAGCCTATTAAGTGAATAGATTATACTCAGTTGATCTGTTTAACAATTAAAATTAGCAAGAAAACATGAAGGACAAGAAAGCACGTGATTAAAAGGAAATGGCATCTGATTGAGGAGTGTAATGCACCTGGTTCTGCTCAAAATAATTTGGTAGTAAATTATGTTCCCCAAGCACAATTTCACCTCTACTTGGCTTCTCTAAACCCATGATCAGTTTCAGTAAAGTACTCTTCCCACATCCATTTGGACCAATAATAGCAATTTTTTCTCCTCTTTCTATCATGAGATTTGTCTTATTAAAAAGCACCTGGAACAAAAGCAACCAATAACCATCAATAACATGTCTAGAAGATCAATGGGAAAAACAGAACTCGGTATTTCAAAAATCATCTTCCCTGTAACATGGCTTACCTTATCCTCATAACCAAATTCCAAATTCTTAATCACAACAACAGATCTTCCACTTCTCCCATGCTCTGGGAACCTGATCTTCATTTGTTTGCGTTGAAATGGCTTCTCTATTTGATCTTCTTCTTGAAATCTCTCCAGTTTCTATGATGATGAAAAAGAAATGTTAGGAGAAACTGAAGCAGCCAGGCAGGTTGTAGAGATTAGATGACCACAGTGGGTAGGGAAAGACCACTCTAGATATAAAAAAAGATAAATAAATAGCATAGCTTTAAGTTTTTTTTAACTGGGTACCAGTCAATCCTACTTCCTTAAAATGATCTAGTTAAAGTGAGATAACAACAAGGAATAGTTATAGCAAAATTTCATGTGTTGGGTGTGGTAGCTTATATACAAAACACACATAGCGGAAATCACCACCAAACACTAGTAGGTTAATTTAAAAGAGAGGAGACTATACAAGTCCAAACCACTAAGATGATTTTCTGAATTCCACTTTGATTATTGCTTATAATTTTTTAAAATATACACTATTTTTAATTGTAAGATAATTGAAATAATATTTTCTAAACATGTAATCAAGAGCTCGTAGCATTAAAAAATATATGATTTATCTTTCAAGCAACAAAGAAGTAGTATGTAAAAAACTTATATAAATTGTCTCAAAATTCACATAAAAATCAAATTGTAAAATATAAAGCGACATAAATCTAACATAGACATTCTTTGAGTAATTCAAAATAAAAGGTAATATGATGAACAAAAAGAATATGAAAGGCCAGCTTTTGAGTGAAAAGTGAAGTTCCAGCAATTGTTAACAAGTAAAGAGTAATAAATGTTTGGACCCTATGTATAAAATATTACTGTAAAGACCTAAACAACTTAGTTAATTATCTGTAAAAATATTTTATACATCAATCTATGTGTTTGGACTCAGTGTATAAAATGAGTATGGTATATACTTTAAACACTCATCTAAAAAAAAAATTTCAAAGAGAAAGCAACTTAAAAATATTTAAAACATTTAAACTTTCTCCGGCAAACATTGATTAAATAGTTTCTTACAATA